CTTAGCATTGAGCAATTCCTAAAGCTATAAAATGGAACTAAGTGAGTCCACTGTAATCCTACATGTATTATAGATCATTGCAAATATATACACAGTAAGCACATCAGCGCCTGCGAGTACAGTTTGCAGATCAATTATTAGATGGTTATAAGTTGTATTTACATTATCTGTGCAGTTGAACCAATAATAGCAAGCTATTTCTCAGGTTACGATATTGGGCTTGCTGTGAATAGTTAAGACAGTATAAAGAGTTTTTACATTATCTGTGCAGTTGAACCAATGATAGCAGGCTATTTCTCAGTTAACCGTATTAGACTCGCTATGAATAGTTACATGTAAAAAGACTTCAGCACACTGTTGGTGCGCGGAATTTAACCCTTGTTAGATTATTGCAATCTGATATCTGTACACTGTTCGATACATTTTCAGGAGAGATCTATTTGGCTTTCTTCAATTTGAACAACCAGGTGACAAAAATGTCAGCAAAGATATCAGACATAACCAACGCGATTCATGCTACAAGTTCAAAGTGCTCAGGCACAGAAGTGTGGAGTGGCACAAATCTTGGAGCCATAAAGGATTCAATATCTATGTCAGTAAACGCTCACGGATGTGCATTGTTTGTCTTGAACTGCACATAATATTGAATCCAACAAAGGAAGTTATACATCAGGTCCACATTGTATATTCATCTTTTGTACAACTTCTGTTGAATCCCTTTACTGAAATGAAATACCACTATCCTTGTGTCTCATCATTCTTGTTAACCTATCATATCAGTAAGAGTTGGGATAGGGGACTTTTCATTGTCTCCTTCCTTTTTATATCGGGATTTGTTGCACTTGAGCCAGAGGACTTTTGGAAACAGTACCTCCACGAGGTAATGGTAAGCTTTGCATGAAATTTCACTGGATATGTTGTTGTTGTTGAAGGGACAACAGTCTTTTCATTTAGTTCATCTCCGATTCTCCGTAGGGAGAGGTATACAACCAATGGCCAGTTGCCTTCCCTCTCCTCTGAGGCCGATAACGTCCACTTGTGGAGCGCTTTGCCTTTTGAGTAGAGTAGCAAGCATTGATGATCTCGTATATGGAGAAAGAGATTGTAGATGTTAGTATATTAATCTATTTCATGAAAATTTAAGTCTATAAAAAAGAGATAGTTAAATCTATAAAAAAGAGATTGTTGACATTTGTAGATTAATTTATTCATTGATAGGACATTTTGTTTCCATGCCAAGAAGTTAAATCTAACAAAATGTGGATTTATTAGACTAGATCTTGTGCAAGTTGGTACCCTATCTGTCTATATTAGAAAATCACAAAACTTAGTCTTACGTACTAACACAAAAATCATGATGTCAAATCTTAATATTTCGACGAGTAATAATCTTTTGCTCTGTATTTTAATCTTTTTACTTTATTTTTAATCTTATAAATGTAGACCTAAACTCGACTCGATCCAACCTAGTTTTTGAAAAGTGTAGTTAATATATATTAGAAAGCTTTATATTTGTTTTACTCATCCAAAAGTTTAGTTTTCCAATAATTGTAACGCTCATGTTAGTAGTTTTGTTGGTTGACTGTCCGAACTTTCACCTTGTAATCCCTTTTTCATTTCCCTTCCCCTACCTCCAACTTTAAGAAAACGTGAATTTAATTTTTTTAAGGACATAATATGAGACCATTTATGAGATGTATCCCTATTTTTGATGAATTGACTCATGATATAAACAATGTGTTTGATTGATAATTGGTAATTAGAGGGGCTGAATGTGATGATGCATGAAGAAAGAACTTTAATTTGTATTATTAGTGCAATATATTTTATTTATTAGAAAAGAGTTTGGAGGGTCTCACTCATTCATAGGTCCACATGAAATTGTATGCAATGACGTAATCCCCACAATATCCAAAGGGACCAAAAAGTTTGAATATGATTTGATGAATTGAAGGGCAAAAACAATTTTGAGATATTCTAAACTTTCTTTTTTAAATGGGAAAAGATATCATTACTTGATCAAACTCAATTTTTACAATAAAGTTTAGTATAATTCAGTTAAGGGATAAAATAAATTTTATTTATGGGTAGACAATATATTGTATTTAGTCAAACTATAAATTACGGGATTGTTTAATTAGTGAGATATTGAGATAGATAAAATTATTATCCTTAATTTATCGATCAAACGATCGCCTTAATTCCTGCCTCCTCCTTTTACTTTTCGCTAGTTCCTCTATGAGTCATTTTCTTTTAACACAATACTAATGATAGTTTTTTTAAAAAAAAAAAATCACACATGATAGCTAAGCATTAGTTCCAAACTAAAAGGATATATTTTGACTATATGAATTCTTTATATTTGTTTCATTTTATTTGAGTTCTCTTATATTATCACTTTTTAAAGGTACTCTCTAATACTAGAGTTCTTTAATTTTTTTTTTGAGCAACATGATTCTAAAGTCTTAATTTCAATTTGTTGATATGTTAACATAGAGTCTTTGACTCGACTAGTAGAGTACAATCTTTTCTTTATATATATTAAAGTGAAAATAGTTTTGAATAGGTGGATGAATGATGCAGTGATACGTATCAAGAGTGATCGGTCAAAGCGGTCCAATAAAGATATAATAGGGTTGAATAACATTTTTGAGATAAGACTAGTAAGAGAGAAACTCAGCTCGGAAAAGATTCGAAGTTTATAGCGTTGTGATCGATATTATGCTGACTTCTTATTGATCTTTTAATTCATTTGCCATTCAATCGTTGTCATTATAATCAGGTCAATTTAATTCACATGTTCTTAAATTATATTTAAAATTTAACAGTATCATTTTTACATGTAAACATCATATTTACACCATATGTGTGTGTATGTGGAAATAGGAATAATACAAAGAAACATAATTAAATTGAGGAACTATTGATGTCTAGAGGAAGGTAGAGAAGGTTGCAATCTTAGCTTTGTTTAGAAGCAAAAGAAAACTCCTCAAACTCGATATCGACTTGTTACTCTTTTTATTGGTTCATATTAATTCCCAAAAAAAAGCACAAAATTTTTAAAAATACTTTTCTTAATCTTGTAAGATTCTTGGAGAATTCAAAGGTAATTTTACTAATAATCAATCTTGTTTGCTTGCACGGATGGTATAGTGTCATTTTGTCCATCAATTGTTATTCGCTTGCTTTTTCTACGTGTTGCATTGACAATAAGATTTCTTGCTAAATTGTAACATGTTCTCAATTATTTTATCCAATTTTTAGGTGCTAGCATTTTGGGAATATTTGGTTGAAGTTGGAAAAAAATAATTATTTTTGTCAAATCATAGGATATATGTAAATCTTTATCTTTCTTTTTTGAAGTTTTGTGATGGGAAAATTATTTTAACTTCAACTTCAAAAACTCCCTTCATCCCCTCTTATGTGTTGGTTGTAGTTGGATTGAACTCAAAATTTAAGAAATATGAGAAGATTTTCCAATATTTCAAAATTATCTTTATCTTTAAAATAAATGAGGTTTTAAATAGATAAGTACATTTTTTGTGCATCTTTTGTCAAATAAATGAAACTCAACGTAGATTAAGTGTTCATAATGTCATTAAATATTTGCGAAATATGTTTTTTTTAAAACTGGCTAAAAAGTGTTATATAAATCGAAGGAGTACCTTTTTTTTTCTTTTTCAATTTCAACCAAACACTATTTGGCTACTATATTTCACTCCTTGATTTCAAGTTCAGGTTATTATAATAATAGACCAAATTATAAAACAAAAATACTTATTAACTTTTAATATAATACCAAATTGAAGTTAGAAAATCTCAAGAAATTGAAATTAAAAAACTTAAAAATGAGATTGGGGAGTCCCACATAAAAATATATTTCCACTTTTGGCGCCTTATTTACTTTTTGTATATATTATATGGAGTATTTTTTAGGATGAAATCTCCAACCACCTTGGGATTATAAAACTATAAAATGCCAGTGCACCTTATTTCTCTTTTTTTCATCATTTATCGCCATTTTTTTTCATTTTCCTTTTATACTTTTTCTACCTGAAATGAAATCTCCCGCAGTTCAAGGATCTGCTTCTCGTTTTTATCTCTGATTCTCCAACTTCTAACTGTCACAAATCTTGTATTTCAATTCTTTACCCTTTTTTCTCTCCAATTTTCTTCATCTTTAACCAAACATGGACTCTTCTTCTAATCTCAATTTCCCATTCACAATTTCATATACACCCACTAAGTTAAATCCTCAATTCTGTCCCAAAAAACCAATCTTTTTCACTTTTCTGAATTACCCATCTTCTTTCTTGACGATTTCATCGACACCCACCAAGACAAATCCTCAATATTGTAGTAAAAATCCAATCTTTTTCACTTCTATGCAATGTTCTAGAAATAAAAGACTTGGGCTGTCATCAGCTTCTTGGTTGATTATGGAAGAAGCGCCATTGGAGGAGAGGTTAAGTGTTGTTGACAAAGTTCATAGTTTATCTTTGGAATTTAGGTCCTTATCAGAACCAATTGATAGAGTGAAAAGATTATTACACTATGCAAGTATTCTCTCTCCATTATGTGAGTCAGCTAGGGTTCAGGAAAATCGAGTTTTGGGTTGTACAACACAGGTGTGGTTAGAGGCGAGGATGGATAATAGGGGTTCTATGAAGTTTAGTGTAGATAGTGATTCAGAAATTACTAAAGGGTTTTGCTCTTGCTTGATGTGGGTGTTTGATGGGGCAGAACCAGAGGAAATTCTAAGTGTTACAGCAGAGGATTTGGGAGATATGAATGTGGGGTTGCCTAAAAAAGGTCGTTCAAGAGTTAATACTTGGCATAATGTGTTGTTCAGTATGCAGAATAGGACTAAAGATTGTGTTCAAGAGAGGAAGAGAGCTTTGTCTTTGGAAGATCTTCATTCTTTAGTCATTAGACCTCATGAACATGTTGCTGGGCCTAGTGCCAATGGAAGTTACTTGGAATCTGAGGTTGGTCTTAAGTAGCACTTTTTTTATGTCATAATAAATAAACAAAACATTAAAACTTGGTCTCAGCTAGCAAGTAATCCCTCCAACTTTGAGTATGCACATCTAGACTCCTCAACTCGTCTCGTAGTTGAACACTCCAGCTTACAAAATGATCATCTAAACAATTCCCACCAAATTTATGTGACATGTCATCATCGGTGTCCATGAGACAACATGGACAAGTTGAAGTGTTTAGTTGTCAATTGAGACCAAATTGAGGTATTTTGATGTGCACTCTCAAAGTTGAGAGTGCTTACTTGCCAGTGGAGTCCAAGTTTGAGTGTATGTTAATGTATAATGCTTTATTTTTTATTGTCATTTTATTGGCTTGTTTATGTTTTTGGGTGAGTGTAGTACATCATGATCATGGGAAGGTCCAAAGGGATCTTTTGATTCTGCTTTTAAAGAAATCAATTTGTACCTATAATGATGGATGCCATGAGATCAGACTTTGTATTTTAGTTGTTGGAATAGTAGTGCACTAATTATTTTTCTTCTTCTGGATACTATATGTTGTAAATTAGTATAAACTATTATGTGGAGGTTCCACCAACCACCACTTTCCAAGAAAGATGAAAAATTTAAAAGATTAAAATAGAATAGGAAAACACCAACAGTTTGTTCTTTAATCCATTATTCAAGCGAAAACAAACAATTCTGCTTAGAAGGAAGTCATTATTAGTTTCATGGTTTGGGCCTGAAAAGTGAACATGAAGTAGACTGATTAAATATCCACATATTTGTACTAGTTGAGGTAAGGTCAGTTGGCACTTTTTATGGTGTTGAGGAACAGAACTATTCTGGATATGGCACATTCTATGATGAGAGGAAACACCTTGTAAACTGCACAGTAGAAATTCTTTTGGTTCCAAATATCTAATTTGTTGAGTTGGCCTAGGGCAGTATTCATATAGCTAGGATATGTATCTATCACTTGGTCTTGAATTCTTTTTAAGCTTGTAAGCAGGTTTTGTGGCTTTTGGAGCATTCAAGACTTGGTTAATTATAAATATTGAACACCTTATCTATTTATTTTTGGTTAAAAGGATAATAAATTATTAATATTAAGGAGATCTATCATAAGAAGTTAAGAACTACTACTACAAATACATTTCATATTGACCAAGAGGAGAGTGGAAATCACATTGTTTTCTTTACATGCCTGTATGTGTTTGGAACTACGACAAGCGACTACTCTTCAGTCCAACACAAGTTGAGGTCAGCTATCCAATATGTTTTAGAAAGAAAACAAGGATGTTAGGTTGCAAGGCCACAATTATCCCAATAGAAGAAAAACAGCAAAAAACACTCAGGTAAATTGGTTTGGACAAGATTTTGTGATTAACTCAACATTCTGATTCACTTTCATTCTACTAAAGTTTAAGAAAGGTTCTTTTAGGAATTACTTTTAAAACGCCTTGTAGGTGAGGTTATAAAGAATTAATATGTAAAAACGCTTGAATGGAAGTATCAATTTGACCTCACTATTTATTAGATTACTGAGGGACATATATGTAATGTTCCGGTTAGAAATCCTTTTGGACTTGTCCCATTCATGTAGAATGATTCCAAAGTCAGATTCTGCTATTAAGATCTCTTCATAAAAAAGGCTTATCTGCTTATTTTTCCTTCAATTAATTATGATATGCTGCATTTTCCTTGTCATTTCGTAGTTGAAGCAAAATTAACAGGTGGGAAAAGAAATATCATTTTCTTTGATCTGTTCCAGTCTCATCATCGTTTATTGCATCACGTGTACGGGGTTTAGCTTCAACTATTTTCAGTATAGAACCTATGACATTTGAACTTGCGGATATAAGACAACTAAAGATAAGGGCATCGAGCTCATTTTCATCATCAATGAGAACTTCAATAATATTTTGGCATCTCTTGCCTAGTTAGTTAGTTAGAACACGATTTTTAACTGAAGTCAAGAAATTTGTGCTCCTTGCTCCTCAGTCCTTCAAACTATAGTGAACAATTAAAAGATTGAGTGAACGTGAATGAAAATGCTCTTGCTTTTGTTTTAAGATACAAATTCAAACAATGTTTATGTATCTGAAATTCATTCCCATGTCAAGATCTTACTGAAGCTGATGGGAAAGGTATCTCATTATCTCATTTATTTGATATTTACTACTTGTATATATTGGTTGACAAAGTAAATAAGGTGTCAAAGCATGTGTGACCTCTAATAGAACCCTTTGCTCATAAATGATTTTTTTTTTTTTTTTTTTTGCAATTTATGCCTGTCCCTGAAATGTATATCTTTAAATTCTGGTATATTTCTGTTTCTTGCAGCCTAAGTGCAGTTTCGAAGTCAAATGATTCTCAGCCAAACTTTGTCCCATGGTTGGATGAATCTGCTAAAATTTCACCATCTTCTTCTTTTGTTACTGATAAGGCTTTTGGTCTCCACTTTGCACCTGAGGCAACTTCCTTCTCATTCTTTATCCTTGTTTTTCACAGGTAAAAATCTTATTCTTATCTTTTTGTTTTAGTACGTTGCGACTGATACTCCATATTGCAAACCTTACAAACTAACATGTATATTGCAGACCTTACAACTAACACGCCATTCTAAATATGATTCTACGTACATGTTGCATAGAATTGAATTCACTGGGGCAATAAAGCAGATGATTGTTGATATAATTTTTGTACTGAGTTGCCTCTTTCAAGGCATTCATTGAATATGAGCCATGGACTTCTCCCTGTGGCATAAGTTGTTGATGTAATCTCTGTTGTATTTTGTATTAGCAACCTACTGGTTTTTTTCTTCTTCTTAGATGCAAGACAAATAGTTCTCAAATGTGGTTTGTATCTTTTGGAAGAGAAATTTCCAAATGAGTATTCTCTATTGAGAAAATTCATACATTGGAGTGATAACTGATTTAACCTTTACACTTTTGAAACTAGGAAGGGAGGGATTGCTTTGTAAAGACTATGGGTGTGTTTGGTATGAAGGAAAACATTTTTTGGAAAATGTTTTTCAATTTTCTCATGTTTGGTTTGGTTAAATGTTTTGGAAAATGTTTTCCAAATCAACTCATTTTCCTCAAATTTAAGGAAAATGACTTCCCTTCAAAACTTAAGGAAAACATTTTCCAAAACTCTCTTCCAACTTCAAATTACAATTACTTTTTGTTGAAAAAATTAATTTATTTTGTCTCTACTCTCAAACCAGCCTCCCCCAAAAAATATATTAAACTTGTTTTAAATTCAATTTTTTTACCCACCCTCACCCTCACCCCCTCCCAAATTACAATTACTTTTTGTTGAAAAAATCAATTTATTTTGTCTCTACTCTCAAACCAGCCTCCCCC